GTCGTGTCCTGTAAACGCGATATCCATGACTTCGGCAATAGCGATGTTGAAGAGGAAAGGTGACAGCGGGCATCCTTGTCGCACACCACTGGAGATATTAAAGGGCGATGACAGATTGCCTTAAGCCCTCACGCTGCCTCAGCTACGGGCGTTTAATGCTCAGCTAATATGTACATATTTCTCAGGTACACCTTTCTTGAGTAGACAGTCCCAAAATTCACGTCTATCCATCGAATCGTATGTACCTTTAAGATTGAGGTACACGACAACGGTGGACCGCCAATATAGGTGACGTTGCTCCAACAACTGACGTAAAGTGAATATGTGGTCAATGCAGCCACGACCTCGACGAAACCCGGCTTGCTGTTCACGAATATGGTTTCCACAAGTGCTAGTCAGTCTGTGAAGGATGACAGAGGCAAGCAATTTGGAAGCGATGGAGACCAGACTGATTCCTCTATGGTTGCGGTATTCCGATCGTGAACCTCCCTTGAAAATTGGAACTGTGACGTAACGGCACCAGTCGGCTGGGACAGTTTCTTGCTGCCACAGTTTTAGTGTTAACTCGTATAAATCATCCACCACAGCAGGGCCCCAAATTTGAGGAGAGCTGGAGGTAGATCATCTGGTCCAGAGGCTTTATTTATCTTCAACTGTGCGATCTCATGTTCGACTTCTGAGCAAGAGGCTGGATCCAAAGGGACAGCCCAGGGAGCGGGGCGGTCAGTGGCCGGCGAGAAATATAACAATTCCGACCGATTAAATTACCTTTCAAAGTGCTCAGCCCAACGCTCCAAGTGATTTTACAAGTTGTGGATAGGCTGTCCACTCTCGTCCCGTATAGTTTAACTACGCACGCAAGTTTCGGCAGACCGTGTTCGACAAGTTACACGGCTTGTCTTATGCAGGCTACGCAAATTGCTGGCGATTACCTTTAGGTATTTACCATTGGGAGCAGAAACCGTGTACCAGCGGAGCCAGTTCTTGCAGGGAGATAGTGCATCGCCGGGTCACAACCAGAAAAAGCACCAAGAGATCTTTTCTCCTGCTTCACGACGTGCTTCCATATCGCAGGGCCGTTCGAAATTTCAGCGGCTCCGTCAAAGCGAGATCTGATTGCAACGTGACACCAGTGCCTTTGATTTTAAAGGCAAAGTGTAGAGGAGCTTGGCGCACCTCTGGTTCGGACCCAGTAATACTCAACAGCCTTTTCAGCCGACAAACTCATCAGTGAAATTCCCCACAGTTACTCTGGGATATCCTAGCAGTAAAGTTTTCTGACGCGTATTGTAAACTAATGATGGTCATCGAGGTTATGATCCTTTGGAAGAACAGCAGATGACTCAATTCTAATGCTGAAAATAACCCTGCAATCAAAATACGTGTTTCAGCAACTCAGATTACTAACCGAACGCTCCGTGGACGTTAGCTGTTTCGGAATAGCATCCGATGTTTTAGACTCCAACGTCGTAAAGGAATAAAAACTTGGATGAGACAGCTGCAGTAGAAATAGAGGGGAATGAAGATAGTGCACCCGACGGACGTCCTACATCTGCCTTGGCTTTTGCCAATTTTTTAATCCTCTTCCACTTTCGTTTTTAAAACGGCGGAAGCCCACTTGTCTCCCTGGATAACAGACGAATCAAACACGGTATCTGAGGGTTCGTTGTCAACACTACCCTTACTAAATCATGTACTGACATTAGATTGTAAGCAAACAGACGCCGGGTCCGGAAACTTGCAAGTATCTTCCACCACCTCGTGACGGAGACCTGCGCAATCCAGACACTTAACAATGCAATCAAATTCCCTGTCCAGCGAACACATCAGACTCATCAGGCTTTACTGAGACATCGAACTGCTAGTTACTGGCGTGTAACGCTCAGTCCTACGCCCACAGCAGTCAACACAACTGTGCGGTATGCTCTCGCTACTAGCCTCATCGGAAGCAAGCCAGAACAGTCTACATAGAACCAACGGCAGCACATACCGCATTGCAGGCCCCCCAGTCTGTAACCGCTTTGAGGCACCCCGCTTTGCCATATATATCAGCTTAGACTGAAATGTCTAAGAATCTACAGCAGTCGAGATCGGTTTTCGCGGGGGGATCTCATAATGATTTACCAGAATCTGAAGAACCCAAACCACATTTGCCGTCCGCTGCTGGAATTGAACCACAACACTAAACTAAGAGGTCACTCTCATATCATCCGGCCCCTAAGGACATGCTGGAGCGATTTCACCGCCAATTGAAGGCCACGCTGCTTGCGCACGCAGATCCTTCATGGTCGGAAACGCTTCCTCACGTTCTCCTAGGCTTAAGAAACACTGTTAAAACCGATTTCCGCGCAACACCAGCGCAACTAGTCTACGGCTTTACGTTGTGTGTGCCCGGACTGCTGGTAGCACCAGCCCCGTCTACTTTCTCTTTTGACTACGGTAGTTACACCGATCGATTGGCTGACCAGACATGTGAGCTAAGTCCACACAGAACACACCAGTCTACGTGCCCGAGGAGCTGTCTAGATGTTCAAACGTCCTTATTCGAGCAGACAGAGTTCGAAAGCCTCATCCGTCGCCGTAGATAGGACCTTTCAAAGTGCTACACC